GAACAATCTTCCCAACTCTTTCTTATTTCAACTATGCCAATATTTATTTTCATCACATGTGCCTTGGTGGATATTTCTTGATCACCAAATGGATTAACTGATCTAATGATGTATAAGTCCTTGAGGCCTTTATATTTAGCAGAGAAATACTTTGAGGCATGAGTCCAATCTATCCACAAAAGAGTAAGCTGTTTCTTGCTATATTTTTAGTAATTTTTCACTCCAGAAAAAAAAATAAATCAATTTTCCTGAAGTGGTGAAATTAATCCATTTGAAGACAAGAAGAAATGTTTCTGAGTAGAATGCCAGCGTCTGGCCTACAGACACATTCCAATTACTGCATTAGCCGCCAGAGACCGACAATTAAATTGTGTCTGAAACATATTCTTTTCCCTTTTTATTCCGTTAGTTCAGTGATCTATCCACCCAGCAGACTTCAATGCAAGTGCATTGATAACCACAGTGACCTGGAATTATTCTGCTGTCTGTTAGGTCAGGATTTTCAAGCAGCTGAGAGTTACGAGGAATCCCTTATAAATTTTACCAGACATAGTACGCGGATGGGACACTTTGGGAGGACTTGCTCTGGATTACCTTCTGAACATGAACAGTGCTTGCAATAAATCTGATGGATTGTTGCTTCAGTACCGAGCTGTTAATAAGATGCTTTCTCAAGCTAGGATGAAATGGATGGTACTTTGAGAAGGACAGAAATTAAAGGGGAGCAAGTATGGACTGCACTTGCAATCTGACAAATTCCACATGGGAGCTGGAATTTGGCCAGGGACTCGCACTGCAAACTCTTGCAAAAAGTTCTGCCGCAGCTATAGTTGAGCATAAATAGCGAGGCTGTTGAAATAACCAATCTGCCTTATAATAAACTATATATTATATAAAATACAGGGCCCTGAAGGAGCTTTCAGATATGATTAAAAGTCTCTCTTCTTCACAAGTCATCTGGAATAGAAGGAATAAGCTTTGCTTCATGCTTTTTAAAGACTGTCACCAGAAATGTTTTACAAAAGATCCAAAAAGAGAAGAGACCCCTCAGGCCACAGCTGTGGAAATTGTTATTTTGCTTTTCTTTCCTTTTCATGAAATTTCAGTTTACTTTATGCAGTGTTTTGTTAGGCTCAATTGCTCTCTTTCTTGCTTAGCACTAGCTGTACACTCAAATTGACTTGTGTAATACGTCCATTCTTCACATCTGATGTCCTGTGGTTCCAACGTGTCAAGATGATGCTTATTAAAAAAGGGGAAAAGTCTGAGGCCAGCAGAACTTCTCTAAACAGGAAGAATTAAGGTCCAGTGAAAACACTGGCGTGGCGCATGAGCAGCATCTCAGCATCTCTCCTGAATCTGTCAAACCCAAAAAGTGCCCTCTTAACGTGCTTTTCCTTAGTTTCTCTTCTAAGCATCTGCTATTTGCTCCAGCAAGAGTTATAGTACTAAGGTAAATGGGGCTTTGGTTAGACTCAGTTCTTTAGTAAGCTCAGTGGTCTGAGAGACCTCCTGAGATCCCTTCACCCTGAATTATCCTGATCCTAAATTCTGGGTCTCAGTGAAAGTATAAAGGGATTGCAGGTAAAGTGATGAGGTAAACCACAGTGCACCCCTGCTAACCTGCAGCACAAGCTAAACCTTGGCCTTAAGTGGTTAGAGAGGCAGCTTCTGCCTCTCAGGAAGGCTTTTCTTCAGGAAAATTTCTTCTTACAACTTGCAGCCCCGTTTGTTTTGCAGGGTGAGTTTCCCTGAATGGCTGTGGGAGAAGGCCCACCCATTGCATCTCTTGGGACAAGGCACTGGCTCGTGTACGGCAGTGGCAGCACGGACTGGAGCCCCCAGAGATCTCTGGCATTTTGGTGCAAATTCCCAATTAATTTGATGGCTAATTTCCAAGCCCTAAATTGTGAAGGATGCTCAATAGTTTCACCTTGCTGCTAGACTTCACCAGTGCAGAGTTTTTTCTACCAACTTAACATTCCAGGAGTGGAGAGCTGGTTTGTTTTTCTTATCATTTCTTCTACTGACATTTTTTATTTAGCATTTTGAATATTTTTAGCTGGAGCCTGTGCTATTCTCTTCCATCTTGTTAGCCTTTCAAGACGCTTTTTCAGCTCCAATAGAATATTCATTGATTTTCATTACAGTGGAAGGGAAAAGAGAGGGGAAAAAAGTCTCTCTTGCTCTCCTCTCTCTTTTTTCCTCCTACCTGGACTATCTGGGGAGTAACCGCAGCTTTGAGAGCACATTATAAGTCAGTTCATCTCTTAGACTACTTTGCTTGCACAATCTTGAACCTGAGCAGCGATTAACTTCCTCTCTCTGAACAGATACAGTGTTTTATAAGACTCCTAATAAGTTGGCTAAAAGAATGCACCATGGGGCCTTTTCTCTTTTATCAGCAGTCACCAAACATTTGTCTTTCGTATTGTATTACAGTGTAGTAGCCGCGAATTTCACTCTCGACTGTGCGGGATTCCATGACAAAATAGGAAAATAAGCCATTGGGGGAAGGTAAAAAGTCAGCCTAAATCAAAAGAAAGTCTGGCTCCATTTGTATTTACAAGGAATTAATTGGTTTTAATTTCCTGTGCTTTGCACAATAATCTGTGTAATTCAAAACTTCTGCTCTTTCTAAATTCCATCCCTGTGCCTGTCGGCGGGGGGGGGGAGTTTGCCAGCAGGCATATGCATGTAGGGAGAGTGAGAAAAAGAAAGGGTGAGCCCTACCATCTGAAACAGCACAGAGCTTTTCATAAATCCTGTAAACATGTCAAGAATAAGCAAATTGAGAGTGGCAAGCAGTTGCAGAATAGCCCAGTTCATACATTGTTCTAGTATCTGATAGCAGATTTTTATCTCATGTTTGAAATATAATATTTTCTTTCTGGTAGAAATCTTTAACTCCATTTTTCTGAGTTGTTTTTGCAATCAGATAGCCCTTGGAAAAGGGCTTTTGTTATTATTTGTTATTCTTATCATAATTTATTTATATTCCAAGAACATTCAGAGGTCTCATATGGGTGGGATCCCATTTTGTTGTATGTAGTACAATCATACAAAGGCTAGAATTTGATTTACTGTAGACCTCCAGTAATATACAGTTGCCCTTTCCAAGGTGCAGACCAGAGAATAGAAGGGAAATAATACTTGTTCATGGCAGAGAATACCTCGAGGAGACATCAGGTCAGCTTCTCCCTGCACTAGGAAGGCTGCAGGCTGCCTTGAGTGTCCTTGGGTGCGTAACCGGTGGTGAGCGATGACATGAGGCAGTTCTGAGGGCTGATGGCTCACCCACATTGCCTCTGCCCATCACAAAATACTCACTGGACTTAAATGGGAACACTGGTGTCAAAACCGTGGTAGGCAAGATAGGCAGGAGACAGGTTTTGTTTCCGCAAGAAGCAGTAAAAAGGATTTACACAAAAAAAATAATACTGGAATAAGCGTTAGGCTAGGGCATGATGGATAACACTGCTACTGCATTGCTGTGGGAGTTTCTGCTGCCACAAACAGCTTTAGGAGAGCTTCGGTGGGACACAGACGGTCAGGACATCTGCAGAAAGAGCTCGGAGAGGCTTCAGGGCTAACACTGAATGATAAGATTTCTCATCATGTTGGACCCCTTATATGGTTTGGTTTCAGTGTGATCTCCAAACCCTGTTGACCCTTCACTGAAATGAATTCTGCTGGCAAAGAAATGATTTAAAAATAGATACCAGTGCTATTTCTAGTGTCCATGGGAGTTTTTGTGGGGGCTCTGCAGTGGAAGAACAAAATGGCTGTTGACATTATTCCATTGGGATAAATACATTTTTCTGAAATGACTGTGGTGGTGACGAAAGCATGCCTGTCCCCAGAAAGCAGGTATGGCCCAGACAACACCTGATGAAGTTTCCCTGTAACACTCTGCCACGTCCTGACAAAAGATTTCAGCCCTGTCCTAGTGGAACAGGTTTTTGAGGCAAGGAGAGAGTTTAGCCTTTGTATCATCTTCAGATTTCCTACCAGGGAGAAGTTAATTAAGCTCAATTCAGCCAAAATATTTGAAAGCAGCTCTGGATCCACCAGCTTGTTTGTTGGTAGGAGATAATGGGAGATCAGGTCTTTAAAATCAACAAATTGCTGAATTAATTGTGGAGTCCCACAATTAGCAGCTGTTTTGCAGAGAACAGAGCACTTGCAAGTGCAACGAACATTTGCTAGATGTTGTCCTAAAGGCCCACACATTGCCTGTGTGCTCTCAGACTCTAATTCAGCCTTTATCTCAATCTACATAAAATTAATCAGCCTAACAATTGTAAAGTGCTGAGAGCGTTAACGCTTTTGGACTTCTTCTGTTTAGTACCTCACAAACTGTCCCTGAATGTCCCTCCAACACTGAGACTAGAAGCAACTCCTGGTGTGAGTAACCTGACAGTTGCTTAGCCTCCCCGGAGTGCACTCAGAAGACAGTGCTGCTTTTTTTTTTTCTCATCCATGAGGCAGACCTTCAGCAGCAGCTCTTAGAGCAGCTTGGCCACTTGTTGGAGTAGTATGCATTACTCAGCAGAGGACCATCATATAAAGAAACCCAGCAGCAGGTCACTCTGCTGCTATTTATTACTGCAACATGACCTACTTTAGGATCAGGATGGCTGCATTTAGAAAGATTTCATTTCTTTCTAATCCATAAACACCACTATTTTTAAACACAGCACTTAAAAAAGTCAGTCATGCTCGTTCAACATCTGCCTCTTCCTCGGGATGGCACAGACTCACAGTCTTTTCTTCACAGGCAGGAATATATCTGTCTTGCCAAGCCCTGTTCACCTCCTGGTCTGTTTTGGTGCAAACATTTCCACTCTAACCACTGTCAGTAATTTTGTCCAGTGATTCATTTCCTTCATAATTAAAATTGCATGATTAAAACATTTGTGTTTCAAAACAGTGCTCGATTAATCTTAAAATAAAAAAATTGAAGTATCAGCTCACTGTGGAGGAAAAAACCCCTACATAATTTTATTATTAAAATAAAACATTGTTGTGAAAGGTGCATGGATTGATCTAACCCTTTGAACCTGACCTTATGCTAGTTGCTTATTTAGTTGCTGCAGCATTGGTTTTAGTCACCACGTATTACAGAGTGCTGTGAAAAGCTTGGGAACGTACGGCTTTGAGTAACCCATCCAAACATAATAGCTGGCAGAATTCAGAGCAGAAACAAACCCACGTGAAGACTCAACACTTGGAAGTGGTGAAGTGTAAAATTAATAGCTGGTCTTCAGCCTGCCTTGGACATCTTGAGGACCTCTTATGTCTGAGCTGTATCTCCCAAAAGTGCACCATGAAGGGCTTTTTCCTAAGTAAGAGTTAGGGCTTTGGAAAATACCTTTCGGAGGCTTAAACCCTCTTCTGTATCCACAAGGCACTGGGGTAGTACAAAGAAGCTGTAAATGGGGGTGAAATCTTTCCCCCCTATGGCACCAGCTTTGTTATCCTTGGATGGCATTTTTCGTATTAGTGCTTCTGCGTTATAAGAATGGTAACAATGTCTAGTGAGCTCTTGTTTTGTTAGACCAACTTGAAATGTGCTGAATTACTTCAGAGCAATGGAGTCAAACAACACAGGATGCAAGAGAGGCAGAGGAGTACAGAGCACTGCCACGCGCGAGCTTCGCCCTCAGAACTCACTTCACGGGGAAGAAACCAAGTAGTGAGACATTTACCTTCCAGGACACTTCTGCACTCTTTGTTCTAAAAATTGTTATTTTGATGCAAATTCTACCAGCCAGCACCTACTCATCCAGAAACTGAGCACAGAAATGATTCCATTTGTTCTGGTTAAGCACTTGAACAAGGCTGTCCCTGGACTCTTCTCTTTTTTTAAACTTCCATCTCTCCTGAAAGCATTATGTAGGTCTTGATCTCACTACTAAAGAATTTCTGTGTTGAAAGGTTAAGCAGATATTTGTTTGGATTTGTGTTCTTTGGAGAAATAGCATGTCCATCTCCTCCCTCCTTAAAGGGCACTGGAAAGGCTAATTGCTCAGGCAGGGATCCAATGTCACAACAACTCCCAGTGATAGCAGCCCTGGCTTAGGTCTGAATATTGGCCTTGCTCACCTTTACTATGTCTGCTGACTTAATTGGAGACCAACCGTTCTCCTGAGTCAGGGAGAGGCTTCAGGCCCTTGGAAGACTACAAAAGACTTAGCTTTTGCTGGAGGTTTCATGAGGACAATGCTCAAATGTCATGAGTGTTGCTTTAAGACAGGCAGTTAGACTCAGGGCCTGCATCTGCAGCTTTAAAAAGGCAAAATCGGCATCAGGTCTGATGCTGGACATGTCAAACTCTGCTGTGCACTGACACAGGACCCAGCCTGTGGTGAAGAGCCTGGGACTGTGTGATTGGGAGTGCTCTGAAAACAAAACATGCAGGGATTCCCAGAAGTTTTGTCGAGCTCTCACCAGCCGTATAAAACTTTAATGTAAATCAGATCACCAGCATCTAGTTTTTGTGTAGTGTCTCTTGTGTTGTTTACCTGAGACGTAGAACTCAATGCTCCTCTCTTCTTCACCGATCTTGTTTGAAGCCACGCAGTAATAGATTCCTGATGCGCTGCTGTTTTCCATAGTTAGTGTGCTTACAATCTGCCAAGCAAAGAGGGAAAAGGTAAAGGCTTTGAGTATAGTGTAGGCTGAGTAGAGAGGCAGTTGGGTAAGTATATGTTTTATGGTAGAAAAGCAGTTAACAAAGGAGTTTCTGTAATGAATGAAGCTCACAGACAAGTGCTTCTGTTAGGTTTTTGGTCTCTTATCTCACATCACCTCAGCCCAGTTAATTCTCTTCCCTCCTCATTCCTAAACCTTCCTCTTCTTTTCTTCCTGTCTCCTCCATGAAAAACAGGGTTTCCCTTTGACACACTGCCACGGTCTTTGTGTGACAGCATCAGCCAAAAGCTAAAGTGAAGGACCTGGAAGACTCTTCTAAGACACTGGAGATGAAGCCCCACATTGACCTGTTTTCTTTTCTGCTTTTCAGTTATGGTTTCCGTGGGTAACAGGACACCCACATTTGCGTGGGAAGCAGGTCATTTGTATGGATGTGGTACAAAGAATATTGCAGGATTTTGCTTTGCTTTGCTATAACCCCAGAGAAGGCAGGGAGGGATGTGGCCCCAGTTCACTCTTATAAATTGTGCTTGAAAGCCCCTTGATTCCATAACCCTTCCTCAGAGCCTTACCAGAACTTGTGCGGTAAGGAAGCTCTGGAGAAGCTGCCTTTGCAAAGACACTTGGCAAATGCAGAAAGAAAGGGAGGATTGAGAAGAAGGAAGGAACAGTTGTCCTGAGCTTCACCACACAGAAAACAAACTTCAGTTACTCATGGGGCTGAACTGAAACACATCCTTAAGAACTTGCGTTCATTAAACATCCTAAGCCCCTGCTTCTGTACAGGGCATTCTTAACGCGGAGCCAGCCATATGGGACCCCTGTCCCTGTCACGATACAGCGTCACAAGCTCATCCACAGGTCATGGCTTTAATTATTTCCAGTACTTCCTTTGGGCTGCTAGCAAGAAAGCAGGGTCTAACCCACCAAGGCAGAGATGTTCTTGCAAGATTACTTTGCTTCCCCTGCAGCCATTCACCTGAGGAACCCTGAGCCCTCACATTTGGAAGAAATAGCACTTTCTTTCCCATCCTCTCTAAAGGACTTTGAGAATCAAAACTTGTAACACCCTCTGGCCCTTTGTCCTTATCTCCAGAGAGCACTTTGAAGTGCACAAAAGCATCTCTGGACTTTCTTTTTAATATCCTAAACTAAACTCACACAAGACATTCCTTTACTCTTCATAAGGCTGCACCATGAATGTGTCTATAGCTATGCGGGATGCATTTTCAGAGAGTTATTTAAGATTTTCTGAGCTTTGGCACTTTAAATCCTGTAGGGACATGAGTTTCAAAGGTTTTGATCCCACGTGCATTTTACATTCTAATGGGGAGCGTTTTCAGCAGAATAATGGGTGAGTGGAAAAGTATGTACTTTTCATGGGCACCAAACAGAAATTAACACAGAATAGGGACAAACCAAATTTAGGGGTGAAAACAGGAGACCAGTAAACCCAGCTCCCTCTGGTGTCCACCAAAGAAAGAGCTGTGCAGCTCTGATTTATTTATGATGGGAAAATAGCTCTGACTTGGATATAAAATCACCTAGAGAAGCAGTCTGCGCCTCCTCCTTCTTCTATTCCCATAGCAGTGGGCCTAATGCCACAGGTTATTACCAAGCACATGTTCAGACCTCCACCCCTGACTTCGAGCAGTAGACACTGCCTTTTGAATTACGGCTGAATCAGGACCAAGAGCTTTCTTCTCATGATTACTGGATCGTCAAATTTTATATTTAGGAATAGAAAAAGCCAATATAAATGTACGTGCTGAGGACAGAAGGGGATAAATTTGGACAGCTATTTAACAGCTATTAGTCTTGCTAAGTGACAGCTCTAGATGGGAAGTTGAGGATAATACTGTAGAGCCAGTTAAAATTGTAAAGGGGAATGTAATTATCCGTTTTGGAATATGTCCAAAGTGTTAGGGGTGACACTGTGACTCCTCTAAAAACTGCCTCAATGCCTGAAGCTGCGTTTGGTGGCCCAGAGATAAATGCACACATAGGCTCATGAACACACACAGATCCTAATGTCTCTAACTACATAACTCAAGAAAAGTCTGACATGGTAGTGGTGAAAAAAAAAAGAGCAAATAGCTATACTGAGACCTCATCCTAGCTAATCTCAATTGTGTCTAGATGTGAAGGTGAAAAAGATGTTAAAATGATGGTGGGAAACAATCTGGGGACAAATTCTTGGGAAAAATTTACTGAGGAAAAGAGAGAATGTAATTTTCTTGTTTGTATGCTCAAAATCGCTGTTATGCACTTGGAAACCAGTTTGCTACACACCTGAGCACAAGAGATAACGCACTTTACTGTCTTGTCTTAGAGCTAGCACCTCCCAAGGTCCTCCAAAATGGGGCTTTCAAACCCGCAGCATCCAGCAGAGAAATATATGTGATTTTAGAGCCAGAAATGAAGGATTTTGAGTGATTTTCTTGTAATAAGATGAATCCCTTGAAATGATTATGCATCAGCTTTTCACTCTAGCTGTGTGCTCCTGGGTAAAGCCCTGAGATTGGGACTCCAATTATCTTTCCAGCATCTTAAATAAAGTTCTCAGTTGCCAAACTAACTTAATCCTGGTTCAGTCCTCAACAGAGTGATGCTGTGGAACACATACATGCTATACCGAAGGGCATCCAAATCCTCCTTCCCTCTGTAAGACCACATAGTTTTGTCTTTTACCAAAAGGAACCTGAAATAAACATTTAGGAAGCCAGCAGCAGTATCTGCTTTTTGAAGTATCTGTAGATGAAGGATATCCCATTGAAATCAATCAAGGAGATCCCAGTGAAAGTAACCCCTGTTAACTCAGATGTTAAACCCTGTCGTGTTCACCATGATGTTTTGGCAGTTGTTCATCACTTGTTACTGTAGGCAACTCAAGTTGAACAAATTTGAAATTTTCAAATTTGTCTGTGCTTGGTCATAGTGGCAGGTGGGGATAAGGATTTTGTTCTTCCAAATGCCATCCCTATACTTTCAGTGCAGCCATTTCATGTCTGCAAAAAGGAGTTGAATGAGAAATTGGTTTGAACTCAAGCAACCAAACATAGGAATCTTTTCCAATTCCTAAATGAAAACTGTTAGCAGACTTCTCTCTCGGCGGAGTGGCACAGTCCCAGCATTTGGGGACCTTTATATAGAGTGGAAAAAATTCTGAGGGGATAATCTACTTTGTGTGCTTAGTCCGTGCACCTGGCAAAGTATTTTCCATTCCTGGAATCAGAGCCAGGATAGAAAAGTTTGGCATTTTCCACATCTGGACTCATGAAATCACAGAAAGACCTGACCTGCACGGGACCGCTGGTGGTCTCCTGCCCGAGCCCTTACTCAAAGCAGGGCTCACACCAAAGCGGTTTCTCACGCTTTCTACTCAGAAAACTCTGCTCCCACACAGAGCACAGGACTTTCTGCTAAGCCTAAATAATGATGCTGATGTGAAATCTGCAATTGCCTTGAAACATTGTATCTCTTCAGTGAAATTACTATTAATGAACTATTTACAGCCTGGGAGTTTGTACTTTTTAGTTTACCTTCCACTTGATGTCCTAGTCAAGAGCAGTTCGGACTAAGTGACAATGTACTCCAGCACAAACCGTGTGGCTGTTCAGTCCTTAGCTTCTGTGCAGACTGCACTGGAACCGATGGTAATTAATAACAAGTTATTGGCATGTAATGTCTAGACATCTTCCTAGTGGGAGCCGGGCTGAGATCCTGTGAGTTCCCTGCATACCAAACGCCAAACATCCTTCCGACCCGTTCTGATTGCCTGTGTCGAATTTGGAAGTAAAGGGCTCCATTTCCTATTACTTAACCTAAAGGCCACCCAATACTGCAAGCCCAAAGAAGGGCTTATTAGCTAATAAATAATTACTATCAAAGAATAAATGAAGTTTAAAACTCAGTAAGAAAAGAAATAAAATGACTGATCTCTGAAGAACAACTGTGACAAGTAAATAGACATTGCTGCTGGGAAAACTCATAATGGAATACTTCAATAAAGTCCATATGTCTTGCACTGTAATGTTCCTGAACTGATAAAAACAAGCAGCCAAATAACATTCCACAGCCATATACCATGAGTGTTTTAAGACATCTTGTAGTAAGGACGGAGCAGCAAGATCTTTTTTTAAGCTGGAGCCAGCATGAATCAATATATCTTGTTATTCCTTGCTTTCTCTTTCCTTCGTCTAATCCTTCCCTCCAACGGCTTTAGTTAACAATTCCTCTCTCTTTCACTTCGTTAGCTATATGTGGGTGAGGATGAGGAGTAGAAAAAGTGGGTGGAAAACTTCTCAGCTGTCTAACTCTGGCAGAGCTGGGGTGGAGGTGGCTAGGGAGATATGAAATTATAGGAACTTCACCAGAGACCCCACAAAGAAAATATTCAGCTAGCTCCCAATCCATCTACTTGAATGGCACAGAATAACACTTATTTTTATAGCCTGACAATTTCGATCCATGATCTTCGTTCATTCATTCAAAACACACTAAAGGATGGATTGAGGACAAGTGATCAGAGAAGTCTGTGAGTTGACGGAGAACTTCTAGGGTTTGCTCTCATCTCTGACAGTGGGTGTTTCTCTCCCTGTAAACAGAGAACAATCATTGCCTTCCTCACAGAGTCTGGCAGAGCTGATGGTAGAATCATAGAATCAGGAAAGGTGCTGGACAGGGCAGGAAACTGGGGAAAAACAGAGGTTTGAGTGCCTCTGGAGGAACCGGTATGCATTTCTAGTATGGATGGACTGATCGCTCTCTGGCCCTAGGGCAGGTGGGTAGGTGCTGGCTTGTCATGAGCAATTACCACCCCCATACTTCTTCCTTGCACCCAGAGATTGCAGATAATGAATTTAAGATGGCAAGGAAGAGAGAGGGCCATTTCTTACGTCCCTGCTGCCAGCCAGGCCCTCTCAAGAAGACCTGCCAAGGACACTGTAGTAGTCCTTGTGCTCCTGTGCTTGGGCAGTGCCTGAAATGTCTGGGCTAGAGAGCAGATGCTTTGTTCAAAAACCCAGCCGTGTGACTGTTCACCTTCCCCTGCCAGCGACTGACGTGACAAGGCTTGTGGGAGCTCGCTGAAACGGGCACCCACACAGGGTGACACATTTAAACAGCCCGACTGAGTTGCTCGCATACTTTGCACCAAATGCATCCCACTACTCTAATGTAGTCGTTTTGTTCCTTCAGGAGGTCTAAACCTGGCATTTTGACATCAATTTTCTTCAGTGGTTATGAATTTTCACCAGCAAAAGAGATGTACGGGTTTCATTGCAGAAACATCCACGTGGCCAGGCCACTCTCCCAGATGTACGTGAAAGGGAGAGAAGAGGTGAAAAGAAACCTCCAATGAGGACTGAATTAAGTGTGGCCCTTGCTATTCTTTTCTCCTGTGTCCTGTTCTCCTAAGCTCAGACCAGTACGTTCAGTTTACTAACAGAAAATAAAATAACCTAGCTCCTTGCAACTTGAAGAGGAAATTCAGGCAATTCATGCAATCCTGGGTGTTTCACCTGGTGTTAAAAAGCAGTCTTCAGAGGCAGCTGCACAGCAGGTTAAATCACAAAGTGAAAAGTTCAATATTGACTCAAAACCGCTGCGAAAATTAAACTAACATGATGCAATTGCCTCAACCACTATTTGACCAAAACTTCAGTGAAGTACATCATAAGGTTAACGATAACCACATGCTTTTCTTTAGGAATGAGACTCAGCCTTTTGAAGACAGGAGGGGGGAGAAATTCACTTCTCTATCTGTGGAATAGTAACAGAATAATCATTATGACAAAGATGACAAGAGACCTCAATTTTCCATGCCGCTTTTGTCAAACAGATGTCTAAAGATCTTGATGTGTTCAAAGATCACGTCAGGCATCAGTGGTCTGCTGGAAAAGTCCTTGCTTGCTGCCCTGCAGGCTAGCTCGTGAGCAAGATTCGGGATCTGGTGATTTCTGGGGGCTTGTTCCCATGTTCTTAGCAGTGCTAAAAAGTTAACGCATTTTTGCATCTGTTGCTGAACCAGCATGTATTGCTACAGCTCTTGGAAGATGAACGCTAGGGATGCTGAGAAATCTTAGAGACTGGGTAAATTCCACCTTCTGCTCTCCGACTCCAGCTATCATTGGACAGGCTCACATCACACAGGAAAAATAACCAATCTCAGCTAATCCCAGCTTCGTAACACAGGCAATAAAAGCCACGCTCAGTCAGACTCCAACGTCTTTATTATTTCATCTGGCTAGTCGATGCAGATGAATTACTTGCTAGGACGTGGTGGGGATGGATTGGGCTGTTTCCTGTCTATTCCATTTCTGGTGGGAATAACGACGGATAAAATACAAGGAAAAGTCTGAAGGCTATGAGTTTTCATCAGTGTCTTTTTTGAATTATATCCTATTATCTAAAGACTCCACTTAACACAGATAGCCTTGGACTTCAGAAAGGAGGAAGGAGAGGAATTGTCTGCTAATGTAAGCAGGGAGACAAAGTGCTGAAACCTGAGATTCATAAAATCTAGTTTTATTAATTTGAATAAATCTTAATCAGGACATAAAAATTTCTAGGAAACACCTCCGAATGTGTTTTCAACCAGTGGATCAGCAGGAGATGAAAAGAATGAATATACTATAAATTGTAAACTTACATAACTTGTAAAGAAGTATTTTAATGAAACTTTAATAATGAAATATGTAAAAGCTTAAGTAGGCTTAGCTTTTGAACATGTCTGAAAAAATGAAGAGTTCAGGATGCCTGGAGTCTATAGAAAAAGCAGAGATGGGTGTGTAGGGCGGAGCGAGGAGCGGCCTCGGGGCTGTTGGTGGTACTCAAGGTGTGAGACTGCGGATGTGTTTGGGGTACCCCACTGGATCCAGGAGCTCTGCGGCACTCCTAAAACACCTCATTCACAGACTGCCGCCAAATCCCATCCTAAGCCTACTAGCAGACTAAAATTTCACCCAGTTGCATATCTGCCTCAGCAAAGTTGGTAGAAGAAGAAATGGGAGTGTCGTACATATGCATAAAACAAAGAAAAATGTTTCTAATTTTCTGTTTTGAAGTGTCTCACTATCCTGGCATGTGGGACAATTCAGCAACCGACAGATAGTTTTTGAGTCAGCAATCGTGAAACCTTTCACTTTTATATGGGGACTAACATAACTTTAAGACTGATCATGAGATACAAACTAAACTCTTGGACACCAGATCATATATTTAGACAGACTGTATATACGGAGAGAAACAGTAGCCATGAAAGCCGCAAAACTCTTGTCAGTCCATGTAGCAACCAGAAAGCCTTAGAAAAGGAAGAAAGTTTGTAGGTACATGTCACCAACCTCCATTTTTACAAGTAATTAGCACTTTGTAGGTAGTTGCTTTTACCTAAGATCAAAAATTCTTAGAGAATACATAAAACCAGAGCTTAAGGGGCGCTATGCCATCTAAATAAATCCAATTTATAAATATCTTCCAGCAAGGGGAAAACTCAGGAATGAAAAATGAACACCGAATTTCTCCTTCCCAGCCCAACCTCCATGTTTTCAGAGCTCTGTTTTAGATTATGTTTAGAGCTGGAAAGTCTCCATGAGAAAGAGCAGATGGCTAAGGCACTGATCCTGCCAGATGCTGATTTAGTCTGGACCCAATCCAGAAGAGCACTTTAGCTTTGCGCTTAACTTTAAGCATGGGAGTAGCCCAAGAATTATCATATGCTTAAAGGTATACCAGGATACAAACTGCAACGTTCAGCACCTTGCAGGATTAGGCACTAAATTATCTGGAGCATCCACCTCAAAACCTATAGCTGCCAAACCACTCCTAAAGCCACAAACCTCTGTAAGTCCAACAGGGGTAAAACAACTGGCGGAGCCAGACCACAGCATCTCCTCGGCATCGCCAGGAGTCTGTGAACCTAGAGCAGAACAGCTGCAGCAATTTCTCAAGGATTAGCATGGACGCGGTGTAAACAGTATCACTCAGTATCACCACAGGTACCCAGGAGGCATTTACCAGATAATTCATGGCTGGGATCTTTGCGGTTCCTGCAGGAAGTGTGCTCCTGGTGCTGCTTGGAAGGGGAAGCAGGCAGGGAAGTGGAGAAGGAAGGAGGTCTTCCCACCTTCATTGGCTCAGTTACATGGTTGGCAACGCAAATGGGTAAAGAAAGGTTGACAACTCCCATCGAAACAGGCAGGTACTGCAGGCACTTACACACTCTGAAAATCAGGCCAGCTCTCTCTGGCCACCGTAGGCCTCTTAAATTACACAACTGTTTTACTCCTGCTACTGGGAGAGTAGGCAAGGTTGGGCAGTGCTCTCTAAGTGCTAAGCATTTTAATGAACTCAGAGTCCTTATCAGTTGTGTGCGCTTCACAGGACCCCTCTTACACTGAACCACTCTTACACTTTCTCAAGACTGAGGGAGACAGAGAGGTTTCTGACCCAAAAGTCTTTGGAGAGTTTTAAACAGGGTATGTGACATCATTGCCAGAATCCCGGCATTTATAAACAGCAGAGATCTGAAAATGATCCCAGGGCTGTGGAATTTAAAGCATGCTAACAACCCGCAGCAGCTTGGGAACTGCTGGGAGAGAGCTCCATGTGAGCACAGCGTCCCCTCCGTAAAGCCCACTGCTATTCCATGACATCATTGCTCAGATTTTCATCAGACACATACCTTTCTTTTATCCCCATGCTTCATGGTTATGTTTTCAATGCTTCTGATCTTGTTGCCTATAAACATGTTCTCCTGAACCACAATTTTTTGCCCGTCGGGGTTGCATCTGGAGGTAGAAAAGCAAAGGTGGTGTTCAAGAACGCGACTCACTGCAGATAACCCAGGGAGGCATTATAAAAGACAGAAAATGTCATTCTTAGGCAATAGTTGTAGATCTTAAAAACTCCTGAAAGCTATTGCTGCTGGAGATTGCTACCTCTGCGTGAAACTACTATATTCCTTCATTGCAACATTTCAAAATTGTTTACAAAGCACCTGGACAAAGGTAGACAAAGATCAGAATATGACCAGCAAGGAAATCCCTCAAACTTTCTGAAGATTGAAAATAGAAAATACTGGACAACTAATTAAATCATGTGAGTTTAATGTGGCTAATATGAGTTACGCTCCCAACTCAATGCAGCTGTGCCTTTGTAAGTGTTCTTTTAGCACTTGCAGTGCATTTCAAAATTCAAAATGCCAGTCATTCAAAACTGCGGGGAGGGGAATGTTGCTGAGGGTGTTTGTCTATGCACAACAGGAAAGTGTCCTTACGGCCTCCCCTGCCTCAGCAGAGGCACCGCACTTCCCATGGCCGGTCCCAGCGGCCTCTGAGCCCACCACAGCAGATTAGGATTGTAGGAGGCAAGATGAAAATGGACTTCTATATGTGATGACCAAGGGCCGATGCTGCAGAAAACTAATCCATAAATCAGCCGTGCCTTTGCCAAATCTGCACAAGATGCATGGGTAACACCCTGGGTCAAGGGAGGGTTTCTAGCTCTCAGAAGAGCCTAATTAGAAGATGTCTTGAGTGACTTCCTGCAAGGCACAATTCTTTCTTGAGGATGAAGGGAAAAAACTCAAAGGAAGCAAATCACATCACGGCTCTAAGGAACAATGATAGTGTTTTGGGATTCAAAGTGTGCTAGTGAGGAGGGGGGAGAGAAAGAGAGAGAGAGAGGAAGTGAGACAACAGGAGGAAATGGGGTCTGTGTCATTTCCCACAGGAATCCTCCTACAGCTTCTGCTGGGAAAAGATAAGGCTGCCCCGGAGGCCAGAAGAGGTAGACACCACTCTGCAATTGTATTTAAATTGATAAGATCAGAGAGTCAGAGAGCTGGAACAAGGGTTATACGAGGTCTTTTGCCACCAGGTCACTGGTTGGAATCTGGCTTAATTTGGTAGTCATGACCAATTCTCTCTCCCTAGACAGAAAGGTCTGGAAAAGATTTCAGGTCATCTCTGTGGCTACAGAATGCATAACCTGTTTCCTTATGGTGTTTCCATTATGCTCTCGTTGAACACCTCCAAAGCAGCAGCTTGTGTGCCTTCTGCTGACCTGCGATGCCAACAGCCCTACCTAAGCCTACAAATCTCTGCCGTTTTATTCCTGCAGGAGCCGTGTAGCCACCTAAACAAGGTAACGGGCTACTTCCCTTGTGTCCCTCCACAAGGTCCCTTTTTAGACCCAACCTGAGACTCAATCACCCAACATCAGTGCAACTGCTGCAGCAGAGAACCTGGGAAAGGAGCTTCTCTGTGATTTTCCCCTGTCTCATGACTTGCCATTCACAGCATTTAGAAAAGCATTGAAATACTGAGAAAATAAGGAACCATCCAGCAATTTTCTGTCTTGCCTCCTAGACCTGCCTTTATTGTTTATGGACGGAAAAACTGACTTCAGCCCTCTCATTGCCGGGAATAGTTGAAATGTGGGCAGAATTGTTATACATAGGTCCTGTATGTCCCCTGGGGCTACCAGGGGAAGCATTCAGACCCCAGCCAAGACCTCTCTCTATAGATCACTCATAAAACAGCAGGAGCAAAGAAAATGTCTACTTGTATAAGGTGAATCTCGAAAGGCATCTTGTGTTTTAACTTGCCTTATTCCTCTCTGACAGTTTTGACCCAGTGACTTGCTTCTGTGTCTTCACACCTCAGGCTGCCTCCAGACTTTAGCAAAGAAGGGCCCTCAGCAAGGTGCGAAGGCTTGGCTACCTTTTCCAGCTTCTGCAACGCAGATGCTGCCACAGGAGCCGATGCTCAGTGTGTACTAGTGAAGACAGCCCTTAGGAAGTGGCATAAATTCCATATGGCCACTAAATGAAGCCAAGCCTTCAGCAGGTTGGTTTGACAACAGCTCTTACAGGGGAAAAAAAGTGTGTAACCTCCACACAGAAAGCACCTATCTGTTTTTTTCTTTGTCAACCATGTAGGCTGCATCCAAGAGGTGTAAGAAAAGATCTTGGTAAGTCAGAGGGGCATTGCTTGTCGAGTTAAAGAAAATTCAAGCCTGATCTTTAATCACTTTAAACTTATTTGACACAGTTCTGATAATATAGAAGGTGCACGTTAACTCCAAGATCATACACAACTAAGTATCTGCTGGGATCGTAACCCTTGAGATTTTAGGTGGGGTATCACTGCTTGTGATTTTTAAGTAAGATAAGTTGTACTGGAAAGAAAAACTGACTTGAAACTACCAAACTATTTTGCAACATGTTCATCTGTAGGAGTGTCCACTTACAGCGTGTCTGTGAGGCTGCAGGGCTGCCACTTCCACTCGATCTTCGGGTCAGGATTCCCGCTTACGGTGCACTGGATTTTGTGTTTGCTTCTTAGTTCCACCCGCTCAATCTTATCAAAATCAGTTTCCTTTTCATAGATTTTGGGTCTCTCTAAAGAAAAAAAAAACCACAACAAAACCACAAAAAATAAATGCAAACAAGCAAATTTACATCCACGGTCATGGTCCTGTTTCCATGAAAGATCTGGAAACTTTTCACTGTGATCACTAAGTGATGATCAGCTACATCATCAGCTACTACAGCTACTGAGGCTGTAGGGAAGTTACGAGCAGTACTGAAAGTATACCTTCGCAGGAACATGGGTATTAGCTGTGGTGTTTCAGAAAATACACTGAAATGCTACCACATTCATTCTAATTGCTTTCAAATGTTGTCATGGACCTGCTGTACTTCTGGAAGATTTATGCCATGAAACGTCTATTGGTCAGGGACTGCAGGATCAGGCTGTTAGTCTATGCACTGCGGGCAAAATAGCATGCAGCTTCTGATGTCACCTCCTGAGAGGAACCTTATCAAACAGCTGCTGGTCTGCAATATTGTTACCATTGTGCAAGTTCTCCCCAGGGTTTTGGAAAAAAAGTCTTTTTGATCTGAAAACTTTGCTTTCCTTTTCTGCTCATGTGTAATGGGCACTGGATGAAGGGACGAAGAAAGCGAGGAAGAAGCGGCAGAGAGAAAACACTTGTAAAGTAATGCCCAGACATTCTCACCAACAGCAAAACCATTAAAAATGTCCCTGCGTTATTCACATCTGGAGGGGTTGCAAGATCACACCCTTGGACTGGCAATCTCTCAAGAACAAACTTTTGTGTGACACTTTCAGGGCTGCTTGTTGCCAGCAGGAAAGAAATGCTTTGTCCCATCTACTTCCAGCTCCCACGGGAACATGCAAAAATGAGAAATAATGCTAAAAAATCCCCAAAGTGAACTGAACTTTTCCTAACCTCGGAGAGGGTGGGTTTGAGTTTGGGGTGAAAGCACAGGCTTTTCCCTTATGCAGACAGCTCTGCCCATCCCTGGCCATATCTCTGCTTCTCATAACAGGAAATCAAACAGATTTATTGGTCGGGGTCCCTCTGTGGAACACCTCTGTGCAGCCAAGTGCGGCTGCTTTACGCTGAGGGCTTTTGACAAGTTGGGAAGTGAATGTAGATTAGATTTCTATTTTTTGGGTTAACTTATTTTTTCTGCTGTCAAGGAGGCCCCAGATATGTAAATATGAGCTACTGCCCACCTCATCAATCTTGAGCCCTTTCCCTCTTTTTTTTTAAATAGCTTTTTTCCCCTTCCAGCCCTCTCCTCTTAGGAGAGGACTGACGAGGCTGATCCCGTGTCTTGGTGGGATCCTCGCTTTCCATTTCTCATGGCTGCCAGGTCAAGCTCTGAAAGATCTTCTGACCTCATCATTGCCTGAAAATACATCAGCGTTTTCTTCTCCACCATGTGAAAGGAGTATGGACTGTAGTTGGTTCAGCCATATACTAACTCCTATGGTATAGTAAAACATCAGCTGCTTTAAAGAACCTTCATTAGGTCCTGATTAACATTTCACTTGGTGGTTGAGTCTTGTTTCTCCATCTGCCTGCAGATGATGTTCTATCAGGTTCCAAAAATCCACTCCTCACTCCTTTGTCCCTTCAGACAGGGCGAGGGATTGTCTTTTTGTGAAGGGGAAGATGAAGAAGGGAGCAGACGGGACAGTACTTCAGACTGTGGTTAGGGTCTCTCAGACTCACGTCCTCATCCCTAACATGGACGCGGGGCTTCCTGCACCACATCGCTCTGGGTTAGGCAACCTATTGCTGATCAAATGCTTTGAGATTTGTGGGCAATCCACAGGACAAATTATTGGGACTAATGTTAAATTTCCTTGTAACTGGCATTTTCCTTGTAACTGACTCATTTTCCATCAGTAAATTATTTCTGATCATAAAAATAATAATTTTCTAAAACTCCCTGGAGAGAGCAGCACATTTTTCATTACCTCAGACATTTTTCTTTTCAGCCTCAAATCCTGTGTTCGGCATGTCTGGACTGACCTCAAAAGCGTGATTTTCACTTGGAGAAAGAGACTCTAAGTTCAGTGTGAAAGGTTACTCAAGTGTTATGTGAAAGGTTACTCACGTGTTATGTTTTCTGGGCTGTCAGAACAAAGCTTACACACTCGAGGAGGGAGACAGTACGTTTGCGTGTTTTTGTGTATGTGAAGGAGTATGGGGAGACAAGGTTTGATTGCAATCTTTTAATATTAGGAGATTTTTCTATACTCTTGGTGAAATGATGAACACGTTGACTGTCATTTAAATTATCCTTCTAAAAAGAAATAATAATTTTAACTTGATCTAATTCAAATAAGAACATACATGAGTGACGAATGAATTCTTAATTCCACAATTACTTTACTGCATGGCACTATTAAATATTACTTGAAACCTAAAATGAGTCAAAATGATTCATCAATTGAAATAATTATTATTTATGAGGCTTAAGCAATTATTTTCTTAAAACTTGAGGGGCTAGCTAAAAATGCCTCCCCATCATTTCTTTCACAGTGCCTTATAACAGTTAGTGTGAGGTCGTAGCTAATTACGGGCACGACACTCAGGAACTGAAGCAATTTTAATAAGCGTCTCTCTCTTTTTCCCCGCCAGGGTTGCAATGGCGGTAGGTGTCGTTCTGCAAACGACTCTTACTGCTACCGCAGAGGGGGAGAGCCCCTTCCCCAATTTTGACTGTGCCTCCTTTGGGCTTGTGAGGGTGTTGGCATTGACCGCCGTGCACTGCGGGTTGGAGATACTTCTTGGGGATATTTCCTGGGCTGAAAGCTTTCCAAACCTCTGCACACTGTCCTGGCCATTTTACCTCTTACCGTGCCCCCGAAGGCAACTGAAGCTTTTCCATTCGCTTTGCTCGCTGCTGGGCCAAATCCTGTTTACAGAAGTTGCCTCTATCAGTGATAGAAAGAAGCTAACTGGCTTCTGCGGTGGGTACTGGCCTTTGGGATTTGCTCAGACTGTCACTACACAGTAGGCTCAGCATCCGCAGCAGTCTCACCTGCGAAAAGGCTCTCCACATTAGCCTGATGAGGAGTTTTTAGCCTAAAGCCAGTGATTATCTAAGGTACACCTAGTAGTGTATGTCTCAGATAACTCTCCCTCCTCCAAACAGTGCTTTGCTTTCTCTTTCACGTTCACTTACTAAGCAGCATGGTGGATTATGCACAAACTCTTGTTTATCTTTGCTCGTGTTTAGGCGTGGGGTAAGGCTTGGGGTAAGCACTGCCAAAATCCAGGTACATTTCTGGTTAAATTCTGCATCTAAAGTGTGGATTCCACATGCACACGTACATTTGCATTTGGATTTCTGGTTTTGAAGCATGCAAAAAGAAAAAGGCTGTTGGGAATGGAGAGCTTTAGCAGGCACTGGACTCTTGGCAGTCCAGAAGTGGATTAGAACACAGCCCCTGCAGCGCACCTTGCCTCCTCCAGCAAGTGCAGTGCTGAGCCCTCCTTTCTCCTTGAAGCTCTGCGACTGTGCCGAGCGCCTGACCCGCAGCACCCTAAACCTTGGGTTCACCGAACACCTTCCCATAGAGCCTTACCCCTCAACCGGCAGTCCTGCCTGCTACAGCAGCGCTGACCTGCAAGAGGGGATCTTTAAATACACTTCATTCCTGACCTGAAGTATCCCTCGCTGTCCCAATTCTTGCTTCCCACTCCCCCTGCACCGAGACCGCCCTGCTTTCTTTCAGCCTCTGCCTCCCATCCCTTGGCCATTGCCCTCCCCAGGCTGAGTTTTCTCAAGCAGAAGCCAAACAAACCTTAAAAGCTTTCTCGTCTCTGGCTGCATTTGGAACGCGCGATGTTCAGATGGCTTTAAATGTATCGAAATAAATGGGTTTTCGTCCTCTCTGGCTTAAAGTGTGATTCTATCCCCAACTCGCTTTGCAGAGGTGCAATTGCTGGTGTGAGAGCTGACCTGAATAACTAACGACTTTGCTGCTGCCGCACAGTGAAATGCAATCAAAAAGCAGCTCTGCTTACTGTAAAATTCAAATCGATCAGCATTATGTAAATCTCACCTTACTTTCTAGTGTTATCTTTGGTTTGTGGCATTAGGAGCCAATAATCTGGACGAGGATTAGGACATTAACCCTCTGGCACTACCCCTTTTGCAAGACACTCTTCTGTCTCTAAATTCATTGCAGATGTTACTATGGGGTTGCACACTTGTCACCCAGAGGAGCATCCAAATATAGAGGACAGTGTGCAGCAACTTTCTTTGCCTTTTTTAGAGAAACTTTGCTTTCCTTTCAGTGACCTCTGACTGAACTGCTGTTTATGTACCTTCTCCACTACCATTTAAACTGGGTTTCAAAAAAATCTTTTCACATTAAGCACATCATTAAAGTAACATAGAGTGGTCCAGTGAAGCATTTAGTCTCAACCTTATGTACTTTGCTGGACATGGGACTTCATTAAAACTATTGATAGAGAGGCAACTTGTTTTCTATTTATCCTTTCTGTTTCCTAAAAGCAAAAATAATTTGCACTTTAGAATCTTTCATCTGACGTTTGTATGGTACTTAATGGAAATATAACCTCTGCAGGTTGAGCTAGGAGAATATTCTGTATGGTAGATAGGAAACTCATTAATACAAGTTTGGACTGGTCAAACTATGGGAAAAAGAGGATGAAAGTTTCCCCAAAGTAAAAACACTTTGCCTGTGTTCAGCTTTTTTTCTTTTCTTTTTTGTTAAAAGGAAAGAAAGAAAAATTTAGTTAAATGACCTGAAAACAAAACTTTTGTTGCAGGCTGAACAGAACATTGTGTTTGACCCCAGCTGATTTTGTCTGGGTGGTTTTCTTTGTTTCGTTCTGTTTGCTTTTTTGTTTTATTTTGCGCAGCACTACGTACAAGGCTGCTGTGAAGTGGGTGCGCGGCGCTGTCCCCACAGTACCTCTGCGGAAGCAGATGCCAAGATGAAATGAGTGGCCAAAATCTCTCCGTGAGTCAATACCACGGCCAGGAATAGAATTAGGGTCACCGATTATCGGTCGCCGGCCTAATCTCTAGCACGCACACCCTGC